AATATTTATTTAGTTTTTCCATTTTTAAGATAGGAAATAATAGTTCATATAGTACTAAGGTTTTTTGTAGATGCTGAGAGATTATATGACAGTTTAGCCAAGCAGCTGGGGTGTTGTAAGTACCTAGTAAATACCAGCTGTGGCTATTACTCTATTCTTTATGCTCCAACAGCTCCTTTTTTTTTTTTTTTTCTTTTGGTACTAGGAATTGTACTCAGTGTCTTGGCACACTGAGCTATATTCCCAGACCTTTTATTTTGAAACAGCATCTTGCTAACTTAAACCAGCCTGGGCTTGAATTTTCAGTCCTCCTGCCTCAGCTTTCCAAAGTGCTGCCTGTATTTTTGTTTTTAAGAATACTAATTGCAGGGGCTGGGGATTTAGCTCAGCAGCATAAGCACCTGCTTTGCAAGCAGGCAATCGTGAGTTCCAACCCTGGTACCGATAAAAAAAAAAAAAAAAAAAAGAATAGTAATTGCTATTATCCTCTGCCTTTTTACCTGGGAAATCTTTTGCTGTAATTCCAGATCCAGAAACTTGGAAGCTGTATTACAGATCCAGGCAATCGAGACACCTCAGGAAATACCGTGCACACAGTTTTTCACCGTGACAAGACCAAAGATGCACATCCTGAAAGCTGTTGCAGTGCTGAAAAGAGTGGGCAGCCACTGCCTTGGTTTGAGCATAGGAAAAATGTACCCCAGTTTGCAGAACCTACAGAAACATCATTTGGTCCTGATTCCGGAAAAGGTGCCAAGAGCTTAGTTGAACTCCTCGTAAGTAGTCCATGATGTCTTTCTGTAGATGTGGGGATAGTATCTCAGATGGACAATAGAGAGGAGCGTTTAAGAAATGAAGGGTAGAACTCTATTATAGTCTGCTGACTTCATTTGTTTTTCTGCTCATGGCTTATGCAGCCACTCTGCAGCACATTTTCCTGTTCTCAAAGTTAGACTTATTGGTACAAGATAGATACAGTATCATCGTAGGAATCTGCCTCCTTGAAGACAGTTACTTTGAAGCAAATTTTGCCCAAGTGGCAGTTTGTGGTATTCACCTTTCCAGATCAGAAAAGAACCAAAGCCTGCATTCCCAGTTTTTCTTTCTTCCTCCCTGTCTCTTTTTTTTTTTTTTGTCTTTTTGAGATAGTTCAGGCTGGCCTTGGGCTCATGTTGTAGCCCAGGCTGGTCTTGAACTTGGGAATGATTCTCCTGCCTCAGCCTCTCAAGTGTTGGCCAGTTACTTTAAGTTTCATGTAGTCTAAAAGCATAACTGAGCTTTTCCAAAGCTTTCATAACTCACACCAGCTCTTGAGGCTTTAAATGAATTAAACTGGATTCCAGATGACTCAGCTTATAGTTGTAAGTTCAAGACCAGCATGGGCTACATAGTAAGTTCAAGTCCAGTATGAACTACATAGTGAGACCTTGTCTCAAAACTAAAAGACAACAAAGTCCTTAAAAATCTGGTAACTACTTATCATGATTTCTAGTCACTTTTTAAAAGCAGAGAATAAACTCTTAGACATGTGGAATAAATTATAGGTTCAAGAGTTCAAACCAAAGGCTGGGGATTTAGCTCAATGGCATTAGCTGCCTTCCTTGCAAGCACGCAGTTGTGAGTTCGATCCCCGGTACCAAAAAAAAAAAAAAAAAAAAAAAAAAATTTCAAACCAAGTTGAGTTGAATTTTATCCTCCCTTATTATTAAGACAAAGTGACATGCTGAATCTGTAAACACTCCAGTTGTTGGCTTTGTATGACTGAATTGAAACAAATGTATGACGTTTTAATTTTTTTGCTATTCTCTCATAAGCATGTATTCTTAAAGTCAAAATCTTAACTACTACTTTAATTTGCAGGATGAGTCTGAATGTACTTCAGATGAGGAAATCTTTATCTCACAAGATGAAATACAGTCTTTCATGGCTAATAACCAGTCTTTCTACAGCAATAGAGAACAATACCGACAGCATCTGAAGGAGAAATTTAATAAATACTGCCGCTTAAATGACCACAAAAGGCCCATTTGTAGTGGCTGGTTGACAACAGCTGGAGCAAATTAAATAAATAAACTAGCTCTGTCTTTCAATGAAACACTCAAGATGACTACTGCGCCTTCTCTTTGAAAAAAACTCTTAAATTTAGTGACTTATGGCAAAATTTTATCTTAAATCAATGTGATTCTTGTTTTGGGAGATGGTGGAGGTAACTTCATTAGTTTGTTCTTTCTTCAGGCTTGTGTCTTTAGTTGCGTGGCTGCACAGGCCTGCCATATGATTTAAGCCATCTCTTTTCATTAAATGTTTCTCTTCCTGTGAGACTTACTAAAGCAACTTAGTGGCAAAAAGTAATGTACTTATACTTCTGTACAGAAATGACAATGAGCTGAATATATGGTTTTACAAAGTAGACATCCACTTGCGAAATGTTTGGATGTGATGTTAAAGCGCAATGTGCAAAATTTAAAATAAAGAATATTTATTAATATGCATAGTAGAATTTGGTGTACATGTTTCTACTTAATGTGTGGTAGTACTTTAGTATTTCTCACTTTTACTTAGCCAGTGGTAATGTAAAGGATAAAGAGTAAATTAAGGGCTGGGGATTTAGCTCAGCGGCATAAGTGCCTACCTGGCATGCGCAAGGTTGTAAGTTTGATCCCCAGTATTAAAAAAAAAAGAGCCAGGCATGGTGATACACCCCTGTAATCCCAGCATTTGGGAGGCTGAGGCAAGAGAATCACCATGAGATCAGGGCTGCCTGGGCTACATAGTGAATTCAAGGCCAGCCTAAATTGCATTACAGACCCTGTCTCAAAAAACCATTAAAAAGCAAATGAGAATAGAGATTCAGATTGTTGAATACAGAATCTCCTCTTGATTAAAGTTACATAAGCCTAGAAACATAATTTCTAGTCTTATTCTGAAGAATAAATTTTCTTCAATACTTTTAAAATACTAGCACCTAAAAAATAAAAAGTAAAGATAAAATACTAGCATTTTACTTCCTCATGACTTCACTGTTAAAAGTTCCCTACGAGATAAAAAACACCTCTTAAACTCAGAGAGTCATCTTGACCTAGAAGACTGAACATAAAATGTGGCCAAATTTCAGCCAAAGGTTGTGATAAGGAGTTGCTCAGCATTTATAGTTGGGTTAAAGAGGCTGCACTGAGAGCTCTGTAAGTACTATCATCAGCCTTACTGGTTTGCCAACACTAAAGTCACTGTGGCCTACAGTTCACTGCTGTCAAAACCTGAGTACAGAAGGAGAAAGACTTCCCAGTGTAGCACTTTGCTGACATTTAAAAGGTCAAGTCAGGGGCTGGGCATTTAGCTCAGTGGCATAAGCGCCTGCCTTGCAAGTAGGCAGTTGTGAGTTCCATCCCTGGTACCAATAAAAACAAAAAAGAAAATAAAAAAATAAAAGGTCGAGTCAGAATAGTTCAGTAAACGCATATTCTTAGACTCTGTCTGATGTCATGTGGTGGGACAGTCAGTACCTCTGCAGTGGGGATGGTGCAGACTATATAAACTTTTTACCACTTGATCACATTTCTAGTCAGATTTCGAATGGGCAACAGAACTCTTAATTTTCATAGTTGGCATTTCTTTGATTTACTTCTAGAGTAATCTTTCAAAGTGTTTTACAGAAATTAGGGTAGAGACAAAATGACTAATGATTCTTCTTAGATCCTTGTTCATTTGTTATGAAATTAAAAAAATGACTATGGGGCTCCCTCATCCCTTGGCTCTGAGGCCCATCTGCTTTCTACCATCCATTCTCCTCTTGCCCCTTGCTGTTTTAGGGATTGAACCCATCGTGCTAGTAGGCGAGTGCTTTACCATTGAGCTAAAACCTCCAGCCCTAGAAACCCAGTTTTCTTAGGAAAGATGATTGTATTAAGAATCAGAAGTGCCCGACATGGTGGTGCATTCCTCTAATTCCAGCTCCTCCAGAGGTTGACGCAAGAGGATCACAAGTTTGAAGCCAGCCCGGGCAACTCAGTAAAACTCAAAAAAACTTTAGAAAAGGGCTAGTTAAATGTGAGGCTGTGGGTTTAATCCTCAGGACTGAAGGGGTTAAAGATGTCAGAAGTTAGCCATTTTCAGAGCTTTGGTGGAATAAATCAAGTAGCCAGAGAGCAAAGCAGCCTTTACTCTGAACAAAAAAACCACCAACCTAAGAAGGGAAGGTGGAATGAAGGCAGTTAAAGAGCACATCCGTGCCATACGCCTGCCTTCAGTCTACACCATGCTTCTCCTTATCGATATTGTCATTTTTAAAATGAAAATATTAACTAAAAATACTGAGCTGGGTATGCATCTCAGTGGTAGAGCACTTACCTAGCTTGCTCTGGATTTAGGCCCTGCCAAAGGGTAAGCACTCGGGTAAGTTGTGGCTCTTGCTGTAATATTTACCATACATCCCACTACATTGCTACCACGTGAAGAGGTAGGACCCCTGTAGGACGGTTGGAGACTGACCGTTTAGGGACAGAATCCCCTAATACTAGTGTTTCTGTCTTAAGGCCGAGAGAGCACGTAGGGTCAGTAGGAGTCCTTCCCAAGGTCACCCAATGTTGATGGTGGACACACACATGCCCTTGTCTTTTTCTGGACTAAATTCTTTATTTTATTTTGTCTTTTTCATTTTTATCGGTACCGGGGATCGAACTCACAACTGCCTGCTTGCAAGGCAGGTGCTTATGCCGCTGAGCTAAATCCCCAGCCCCCTGGACTAACTTCTTCCCAGCAGCCGCTGACTGGTTTGAAAGGGCGTTGGAGTCACCTTAACTGTCCTTAATTTCTCAACCTGAGTTTAGGAGTCTGGAGCAGGTAAGAGAGACTGAGTGAGGAGCCTTGGAGGCGCGCATCCCCGCTCTGGAAGCCGCGCAGCTGTCAGGCAACCTGCGGGGACACAGTTTCCTGGAGCGCGCGGCCGAGACCGGAAGGGGCGTGGCCGCGGCGGCGCAGGGGCGGGGCGCCGGGCCGCTGGGCTCCTCCGGCGGGATGTGGCCTGGCGCGGAGGACCGGAGGGCGGAGCTGAGGCCCGAGGCCAGCCAGCATGGGGGTGGGTCGAGGCGCAGCTCGAAGGCCAGCAAGTTGGCAGCAGCTGGCGGGACAGTGACAAGGGAGAGGCCGAGTCTCTCCAGCCAGGGGCGAAGCTCTTTGAGCGAGGTGGGCGGGCGGCTCGGGGCCATGGCCAGGGCGGGCATGGAGCGGTGGCGCGACCGGCTGGCACTGGTGACAGGAGCCTCGGGGGGCATCGGCGCAGCGGTAGCCCGGGCCTTGGTCCAACAGGGACTGAAGGTGGTGGGTTGTGCCCGCACCGTGGGCAACATCGAGGTAAGGCCTCTCCGGGGAGCGAGGACGCTCTGGGGACCTTTCCGGGAACAGGGGTGGGGGTAGGGGGAAGGGGAGTGGTGGAAGCCAGGCCAGGACCCTCAAGTCACTTACCTGTCACTCCAGGGCCATTTGTCACGTGTTTAGGACAAGGGTGAATGCCTAGCAGGTGAGCTTTTTGGATTCCTCAAGGCAAGCTTTCACCTTAGCATTAGGTCCCGTCTTTTAAGGAGTCTTTTATCCCTGATAGCCCCTGCTCCCAGTGGACCAAAGCCCTGGGACTGCCCACCGCCCCCGCCTGCCTTCCTGGTCCCTGTGCCCGAGATGCTGGACTGAGGAAAGGAGAAGTCAGAGATCAGGGGCCAGCCAAGGAGAAGGAGCACTTTCTACCTTCAGTGGTTAGGTTGACTTCCTTTGGTCACCAGACCTCACCACCACGCCCGAGTGCTGGCCAGGGAAAGGTGTAGAAGCTTGAGGTTTTGAATGTTTGACCCAGACAGGGTGAGATTGGGGTATTAGCTTTTCTGAAGAAACCCCTGTCCCCAATCTGAGGGTTAATCTGTACAGTGGCCCTGAGAAATGAAAGGAGTGGTTTACTGGTAGACTTCTCTGATTCATTTTCCTAAATGGCACTGAGTAGGTGAAATAGGGTATTGATTCTGTAAATCCTAGGGGAACGATGCAATGTGGGTCCAGAGCTTCTAGATTTTTTCTTAACGTGGAGTTGGAAACTCCCAGAGTTAGGAGCAACAAGAGATCAGAGAAAAAGGAAATGAAGCTGGCTATTTTGAGATGGGAAGGAAGGAGGTGAAAAATTCCCATTGTAAGTTGTTTTTGGAGTGCTGTTGCAGGACCACTCTGAGGGCCTGAGACAAAGGCTTTTACAGGCTGTCCACCATGACTCAAAGTTCCCAGGTAGAGAAAGGGTGAGGAGGCCTTGGGTGGGGACAGAGGGAGAGGTGTGCAGGAAGGAGGACCGTCCCCTCCCTTGCTGCTGACCAAAGGTACACTTTATAACCTCTCAGGTAATCCCAAGGTCATCTGGCTCGACCATTGCCCCACTCTGCCCCTCCCTTTTTCTGTGCTGAGTGGCTCAGGGCCCAGCCCCAACCTTGGAGCCTAGAGGATCAGGGCAGGGGTTAGACAACTGGATTGCCTAATTCAGAAGCCACTCTTGCCTTCTTTTTTAGTCTCCTCCCCCAAGCCATCTAAGAAAGTGGATATCTGAATCTCAAGGGGGTCCCCAGGCTGATCACCCAGCCCCAAGAAGACTCCATGTTAGAAAGGGAAAATGTCTGGTTATGGGGGTACTGCTATCACTTCAGGTCATTTTTAAGGGTAGATAGGGAGATGGTCCAGTGGCACAGGTGGGGCAGTGAGAAGGCATGACAGAGAAGAATAAATTTTAATCCCTCCTTTCTGGCTTTCTGAAGAGGGGCTCTTAGTCCACAAGAGGAAGGGAAGTTACATGCTAGAGAAGGGTCTCAGGCGTCCTGGCTTCATTGATCACTTCATTGATATTACAGCAGAGTTTGGGTTCTGGCTTTCTACAGATAGAACTGCTGTTTTCCCAGGTGGTCATGGGTAATAAAATCAGGTGGAGAGGGGCTTCTGAGGCCTAGAGTAGTATACCTTTTAAACTCACAAAAAGTTAAAGCAGAAAAAAATTTCCTTAGTCACCTGATCCAGCCTTTTAGTCCTCATTTGGCTCCGGAGAAGGAAGGGGTGCCAAGCCAGGGCAGCTGACCAAACTGGCCTTCCTCTAGGGCATCCTGCACCCCCACCCCCCACAATGTACACAGTCACCTTCACAAGGCTCAAGTGCCTGGTCGGTCACTGGCCTCCAAGGCCATGCAGCCTGTTTTTTTCCTGCTCCTAAATGTCAGCTCCCCTCACAGTCATTTCAGTGGCCCTGCTTTTTTTAATGATCTTTCTCAAGAGAGGGGGACAAGAAGTACCCAGTGTTATCTCCCACCTGCCTTGCCCCATAGTCTCCAAGGAAATCCTGGGGTGGAGGGTGGTGTTCCAGAGGTTAGAGAAAGATCAGATCTGTCCTGATGTCCCTACCCCTTCTAGAGAGGGAGAGGGGGGATTGGCAGATGGGCACTGATGAAAGGCATGAGAATGAGCCTTTGAGTTGAGCCAAACTGACTGCAGTTTGGAGGGAAGGGTGATGGCTTCAGATGAGCCCATCTGGGAAGGGTTGGTTGATGCTGGGGGAGGAGGAAAGGGAGGTCTTGGAGCAGCCAGCTCAGAACTGCTGGCACTGGTAGAAGCAGCATGAGGTGGCGTGAGGGTTGCTTTTATTACTTACAGGCAGAAGAGATGTTCTTAAGAGGTGGGGAAGAGGCAGCAAGAGATCTCCCTCCATTGCCAGGATCTCTGCCCACCTACTCCCTCCCTAAACAGAAGACTTACATTTATGTATGAGGTTCCTCCTCTGTGAGTTGGCAGCAACACCCTGCCCCAGAAGTACCCTTGATCCCTGGACTTTGATTAAAGAGGACAAGCTTTGGGGATAGGCATTCCCAGCATCTTTGTGACCAAAAGGCAGCATTCAAAGGAGACAGTTCTAAGAGTGGTGATGGGGAGGGAGGTGTGGGCGGGAGGTGTGGGAGTGAGCAGCTCACCCCAGTGAGACCCCTGTTGGGTTTCATAGGAGCTGGCTGCTGAATGTAAGAGTGCAGGCTACCCCGGGACTTTGATCCCCTACAGATGTGACCTGTCAAATGAGGAGGACATCCTCTCCATGTTCTCTGCCGTCCGCTCTCAGCACAGTGGTGTGGACATCTGTATCAACAATGCTGGCTTGGCCCGGCCTGACACCCTGCTGTCAGGCAGCACCAGTGGCTGGAAGGACATGTTCAACGTAAGGGCTCTGGGGCCTGGGGCAGGGCGGGCCCGGGCCTGTGAGCTGGAGGCTGTGGGGACAGGGTTTCCAGCAAGACCTTTGGCTTCCTGCTGGGAGGGTCATCATTCTCCCTTATGCTTCCCCTACCAGCAGGGTAGTAAGTGGGTGCATGGCCATACATTTTCAGCGGTCCTTTCCTCTGAGCCACTGGGTGTGGTTCTTTAAGTCTAGACTGATTCTCCCATATTGGCAGAAAGATTGGCAGGAGAGAATACTGCTGGTATTTGTGTGTGTGTGTGTGTGGTACTGGGAATTGAACTTGTGACCTCACACTTGCCAGGCAGGTGCTTATACTGCTGAGCTAAATCCCCAGCCCACTGCTGTTATTGAATGTCCCTGGGTGTCAGTACTGTGCCGTATGCTTGGGAATATGGTTTTAGGCGATGAAAAGGGACAGAGGGAAGAGAGAATATCCTCACCCGGTCCTGCTGGCAGGTTAGTTACTCTCTGAGCTTCTGTCTTGTCACATTTAATTGGGATGAGCATTCTATGTCATCAATATCTGTGGCCAAAAACTCCAGTGCTCTCTGGGTTAATGTAGCACATAAAGGATTGAATTAATTAGGTCGAGTGTGGTCTGCAGTGACTGGGAGAAATGTGTCCACTGCTTGAATCCAACAGAGTTGCTCTCTGCCAGTGTGACTGATATTGAAATTTATTTGAAAGAAGTGGAGAGCCTGTATTTTTATGTGATACCCCACCTGTCCCATTCACGCACATGTCAGCTCCGCCAGTGCAAGGGCTTTTGTCTGTTTTGTTTTCTGAGCTAGCTCTACCTTTATGCCTTCAACAGATGTTTATTGAACAATTGAGTACATGTTGGAAAGGTATTTCATGTATGCTGTTCAAGTACTCTACCACTGAACTATTTCACAAACCCTTTTATGATATTTTAAAGCCCATACACAGGCAAAACTCAGCCTTCAGGAATGGGTGTTCAACTTCTAGGCTGCATTGCGGGGGCAGCATTAGGGTCTGAAAGTATTCTGAAAAGCTGAAAGCAGTGTCCAAACAGGATGCTTCTTTTCCCTCACAATCCTGTCACCCCTGCATTAGTAGATTTCTGTATCTGACAGGTGCTTGGAAATGAAGCAGTGAACAATGGAAATAAATGTGCTGTCCTCAGCCTTCTGGGGAATCACGGACATGGCTCTTAGCTGCTGCAGAGGGTCTCTAAACTCAGACCACAACTTGCCCATCTGTAAAATGAGGGACTCATATCCCTAAGACTCCCCGAATCCTTTAGCATGAATATTGCTTATTAGGATCATCCTATGAGGTATCTTCTCCCTAGTCCTGGCCCCTGCATGTAGGACATTTCCTCACATGCTCCCAAGGATCCATTTCTCCTCTTCTATCTTCCCTGCATACCCACCTGCTAAGAAGACAGGAAACAGGGCTGAGACCCTCCCAGGTCCCGGGACCCATCACCCTGCTGTCACCATGAGGCCAGGCAGGTTCACACCAAGGGTTCTTTATCCTGATGTCTGCTTGACACCTGATAAGAGAACCAGCTAGTATCTGCCAGGAAGCCTCTCTCTTCCCAAGAGCACAGGGACCTACTGAAAGCTTTATCTCAGTTTGTCCCCCTGGCCTGGAGGCTGAAGGGTGGGGCTAAGCAGGTGCTTCACAGAAGATAATGCTGCAGGCCTCTGTTGTATGAAGGGCAGGGACTTCAGGTCATCTCTGCCAGGAGGAGCAGGAGTGGCAAGTGGCCCCACTTGCAGGTGGGACACAAGCTGAGGCAGGTATAAAAGGCAGGAGGACAGGCTGACTTCCTCCTCACCTGCAGGGAGGGGACAGGAACACAGTAGCAGGTTGAGCAAAGTGGGGAGAGGCTGGGATCTGCACTTGAGATTCTTAAGCATTTGAGGATGGGTAAGGTATTTTGGGAAAAGGAGATGATTCCCGAAAGCAGGGACTAAACCAGAGTCTCCTGGGTCCAGGTGGGCTTCCTTTTCTACTTGGGGAGGAGCCAGAAGAGGAGTTACCTGCTGTCAGCTGGGGTTGGCAGTTTTTCTGGACAGGGCACCTGGAAGTCTCTGGGAAGACCCAGACATGGTCTAGAATGTCATGCCACCCTCTCCTCATGGAACTCAGCAGCTCCATCAGCTGGTCAGTTGGCCCCAGCTGGAAACCCCTCATTGACTTCCCTGACTTGCAGGTGAATGTGCTGGCGCTCAGCATCTGCACCCGGGAAGCCTACCAGTCCATGAAGGAGCGCAATGTGGATGACGGGCACATCATTAACATCAACAGGTGAGGGTGGGTGGCCGGTGGTGGAGCCTAGGTCACCACTTGGCCTCCATACTAGGTAATCTGCTATAGCACATGCTCTGTGGACCCCGATCTCTTTGCTGGTAAAATGGGGATTTCATTCCCATTTAATACCCAAATGACATGATTGTGATGAGGGGAAAATGAGTTGTCAAGGGTCAGCCCCTGGTTGCTAGGATAGGTAGCCTGGCCCTTTTTGTCTGCAAAGCCTGAGGATGCTTCTGGGATTCAGCCCTGGGACAGGACCCTCCTGGTGGCACAGAGAGACTGCACAGATTCTGCCTTGGGGGAGCCCCAATCTGAGGGGGAACTAGGCTGCTGCCTGGTCATAATCAGTGAGCACACAGATAAAGTGGCAAGACTTCTGACATCCGGAATGACCAGCAAAGGGATGGCATCAAGGCAGAGGAGGGTTTCAAGAGCCCCTGGGTGATGGCCTTCATGGTTCCCCTTTAAGACACGTCCTGTCTGCCTCTGGGTAGCGAAGTGGGTTAGAATGGCAGGGGACAGTGCCAGTTTGTTTGCTTTACTTTTCCTTCCTCCCCCTCTCCTCCTTCCATGCAGCATGTGTGGCCACCGAATCTTACAGGACAGTGTGATGCATTTCTATACCGCAACCAAGTATGCTGTGACTGCACTGACTGAAGGACTGAGGCACGAGCTTCGGGAGGCCCAGTCCCACATTCGAGCCACGGTGAGGCTGTGTGTGGCCTAATTCTGGTGGGGATAGTGCCCTTCCACCTGCGAGGGGACAGGGTACAGAACTCTTGGGTACTCCATCCCATACATGGTCCTGCTCAGCCCTAAGGATTCTCATTTCACTCATCCTGAAGCCAGTGACCAGACTTAGACTTAGAAGTGGGAGAAGGCTGATTTCAGGGGGCTATGGGGGAATAAGACTAAGGGAAAGCAAGGGGCTCTGGGAAGCCAAGTATCAGGGGCTGAACGGCAGGATTCTGGGCTCTTCCCTTGAGGCCTGGATGACCCTGGACAAAACACTGAACCTCTGCAAGCCTTAGCCATCTCATTTGGAAAATGGAATTGATGATCCCTACCTGGTTAGGGTGGTTTAAGGAACATCATTTTGTAAAGCACTTACCTTACTGTCTAGATAGATGGGAACATGGTAATTGTTGCCATTGACAGCTTTGGAAGGAGGGATCCAAATCTGGACATAGGACAGCCATCATTGGGAAGCTGGGCCCTGTGGCCTCCATTCTTTCTCCCCAACCTCCCCAAAGCCTGGCAAAGCTCTGCCCTTGAACAGGCCCTCTCTGTTGGCCCAGTGCATCTCTCCAGGCTTGGTGGAGACACAGTTCGCCTTCAAACTCCATGACAAGGACCCTGAGAGAGCAGCTGCCACCTATGAACACATCAAGGTGGGACCCAGTAAAGCCACTCAGTCCTTACATGAAGGCAGAGGGAACCCTGGCCTTCAGACTCCACCCTTCTGGCCAGTTTGTCACCCCCATGCAGGGTTAGGGTGGGGATGTGGATGCTGGAGGACCTCAGTAGTGGGAAGGAACCTGGGTCCATTCTGTCTTGGTCTCTCAACTCTTTACCTTGGTGCTCTTAGTGTCTCAAACCTGAGGATGTGGCTGAGGCAGTCATCTACGTCCTCAGCTGTCCCCCACATGTCCAGGTGAGTGTAGCCTTGACTGTCTACCCACAGGAAGAGTTGAGCCATCCCCCGAGGAGGGGAGTGGGAGGCCTTAAGGGGGCAGGGAGTGTCCAGACACCTCAAACCTTATGCCTTCCACAGATTGGAGACATCCAGATGAGGCCCACGGAGCAGGTGACCTAGTGTCCAGTGGGGAGCTCCTCTTCCCTACACCTCATGGCTTGGCTCCTGCCTGTGAATTTTAAGTGTTGATTTCTGGGCCCCTGGACCCCAACTTTCTAACCCCACCCCTACCAAGGGCTAGGAAATTTGTCTAAGGTTTTAGAATCAGCTTGTCAAATTATTTCCAATGCAAATGTGAAAAAATGGGCCAGAGAAAGAAGGTGGGATCCCTGGTTAATTTACCTCTTAGTTTGTTCTGGGTCCTTTTCTTGGGCTTCTGGGACCCTTTCTTGGGCTTCTTGGCCTTTGTCTGCTCTCCTCAGTCTTTTTCTTCCCTTTGACTTGGGAATGGGGATGTGGCTAAAAAGGGGTTTTTCCCTCTCTCTTCTTGGATCCCAGGATCTTTCCTTAGGGTTGAGGTGATGGAGAGAGGCCCTCACCTTATATTGGAGTGGTTTCTCCCTGCCTGCCCCCCAATCTTGGCTTCCCCAGTGGGGTCATCATTCCCTTCCGTGACAGCAGAATACCAGGGCCTGGCTTCACTGTGATGATTAAAAAAAAAATCGCAACAACCTACCTTGGTTTCAGGAGTGTTTTTCAATTGTTCTCCCTTTGTCATGGTCAGAGAGATTGTGTCTCAGAATTTCTTCAAGGTGAGTGGGAGGCTGGGTGGGTATGGAGCATCTCTCCTGGAGAGAGAATTACCGTGGGAAAGGGTTGGATCGGGTCTTGAAAATGGAGGGGTCAGGGCTGGAGATTTAGCTCAGCGGCATAAGCGCCTGCCTTGTAAGCAGGGAGTTGTGAGTTCAATCCCCGGTACCGATAAAAAGGAAAAAGACAAAAAAAAAAAAAAAAAAAAAAAAGAAAGAAAATGGAGGGGTCTCCCAAGACTTACAGGTGTGCAAGGCTAGGAGGCCTGTAAGAGGGTGCAGTGTTGTGTGAACTACACACAGCTTCGTGCAGGAGCAAGGTGGGGATGCAAAGGTGGCCCCCGCCTATGTCTCTGGGGGCCTGAGTGCTAAGGAGAGGAAGTCTGGTCACTGCCTGTGGCCAGCTGGATCAACTAGCTTCATGGCAGGGACTCGGCAGTCACAGCTGTCTCTTTGGGAGAGAATCGGCAGCCAAGGAGTGGGAAGTATCGCTGGGGTCTTGCTGACTGGGAGGGTCTGACAGGAAGGTTCTGGGGACAGAACTGGCAGCTGGATGCGGGGAGGGAGGCACCAAGGTTGAATATTTTTTTAATATACGTGCTGCCGAAGGGAGCACATCCAAGGTTGAATAGAAGGACATAGGATTCCTGTAAATTATCCTTTGCTGGTGCTTGGGTGAATGTGGTCCCCCCCAGCCACCTGGGACTTCGCAGGAACCTGGATGCCGCCAGTGATAGGGCTCAGCTCAGCTTCAGCGCTGTCTTCCCTCCTGGGGCTGTGGAGGCCGCCGCTCAGCCAGGCCGGCAGGGGGCACTATACGAACGGCCCGCAGGTTGGGCATGCACAGTGTATTGCCGGGAAAGGGCGGAGCTTCCGGAATCCGGAAGTGGAGGAACAGCGTGGGAGCCAAGGAGGGTGTATTTGTGGCTCGTCCGTTGGTTTCCGGGCTGTTCTTGAATAGGTATTGGGCGGTGTCGTTGTCCGAGGGGACAAAGTGAGGACAGCTATCGGGTCCTGTTCACCAGACTGTTCGGGGGCGGCCGCTCGGAGCGGGGGACACAGTGGGGAGCATCGAGTTCCCGGCGCGCTGGTGCTATGCGGCTCTTCTCGACCATCAAGGCCGCGACCTGCTGTTGCTCCTATCTACTCGTCGCCCGGCATTTCTCTGCAGCGGCTCGGCGAGGGGTGCGGCCTGGCGGGGAGGAGCTAAAGCGCCTGCGGCTGGATGACCTGGCGCCGACCCCGCGGCTAGAGCTGCTGTTTGGCCTGTCCCCCTGTCTCTTGGCTCTGCGAGCCGCCCGCCGCCGCGTGGCCCGGCTCCTGCTCCAGGCGGGCAGGGCTGGCCTCCAAGGAGAGCGGGCTGAACTGCTGCGGGTGGCCGAGGCGCGGGACATCCCAGTTTTGCGGCCCAGACGACAGAAGCTGGACGCCCTGTGCCACTATCAGGTGCACCAAGGCGTCTGCATGGAGGTGACCCCTCTGCGGCCCCGGCCGTACACTGAGGCCGGGGATGTGAGTCCAAATGATGACCCCCAGCAGTTGTGGCTAGTTCTCGAGGGGCTCCAGGATCCCCGGAATCTAGGTGCTGTGCTACGTACCGCTCACTTCCTCGGAGTGGACAAAATCATCACCAGCCGCAGAAACAGGCACGGGCATCCCTTATTCCCCACTTGGCCAACTAGGAGGCACAACTGAGTTCCTGAGTATCTTGGCCCTTGGGTGATCCCTGTCATATCTCCCTGTCACCGAGCGCCGTATCCCTAGGGGCCCAAGGATGGGTGGAGCGCGGGGCTGGAGACTGCCCAGCCTAAAGTGGGTATGGGGAATCTTTGCAGCTGCCCACTCACTCCAGTAGTCAGCAAGGCCAGTGCGGGAGCTATGGAGGTGATGGACGTGTTCTGCAGTGATGACCTGGCCGGTTTTTTACAGGTAATGGGGGCGAAACGAGCAGAAAGCCTGTAGCCCAGCCTCTTCAAGGGCTTGCAGCCAGCAATGGATAGGGGAGGGGACCGAAAAGAGGCTGTTGACATTGATTCAGTGATCTCCCAGAGGCATTTTTTTTTTTTTTTTGGACAGGTCTCACCATGCAGTTCAGGCTGCCTTGAATTCACTATGTAGCCCAGGGTGGCCTTGAATTGGCAGCGATCCTCTTTCCTGAGCTTCCCAAATGCCAGGATTACAGGTGTGTGCCACCACACCTGACTGGAGTTTTGTTTTGTTTTCTTAATCTACAAATCAAGTGCTGTCTGAAGTTAGGGACTTGCTGGAGTGATTCCCTTTACTGCAGTCCTTTGCCAGGCAGTACTCAGCCCCTTTTGTAAGTCGACCTCTGTCTCATTGCCAGCTGAGTAGCTCAGTAATGCCACTTGCTCAGCTGTGGGGAGCTGGTAGACAGGCAATCTGGGTCCTTGGGTAGGGAATATTTTGACAGAATCTTTGAGCTAGACCTGTATGACTTTTTTTTTTTTTTAAAGAAGTACTAAGTTTATTGGGGAGACATGAAGGTGAGAATCTTATTAATGTGTTTGCAATGCACGATAATTACAAGCACTGTAGCAAGTTGGTATATGTGCATAACACATCTTCTTTTTGCTTCCCCTTGCCTCTGAGCCTCCTTGCTTCCTCCAAAACCTGTATGACTTTGGTATCTAAGAAAGACAAACTTAAGGAATCTCTTCTTCAGTCCTCATGGCTGTCTTCTACTGTGTTTCCTTTGCTGGACACAGGGGTGCAGTATTGTCCCACATTTGGCAGCCCCTTTGCTCTCTCCCCCCAAAAAATGAGGCCTACCCCCAACCTCCTTGAAAAGAAGGGGAAGAGCTCTGGGATGGTTCTAGAACAATGCTGCCCAATAATGCAAGCCATATATAATTTAGATTTATATAATTTTAGATTTTCTATAGTAACCACACTGAAAAGTAAAAGTAAAAAGCAGCTTAAAATTAATTTTGCTGGTTTACGTATATCCACAATTTTATTTCTACATATATTCATTTATGCTATTATTATTGTTGGTTTTTTTTGAGGCAGGGTTTCACTCTATGGTTCAGGCTGGCTTTGAACCCACTTTGTAGCCCAGACTAGCCTCAACCTTGTAGACTCCTCTTGCCTCGGCCTCCTGAGTGCTGAGATTGCAGGCATGCACCACTGGATCTGGCCATTATTGTATTTTTGAGACAGAGTTTCTCTATGCAAGTTCAGCTGTCTTTGAACTCACTTTGTAGCCCAGGCTGGTCTCATAGAGACCCTCCTACCTCAGCCTCCTGAGTGTTGGGATTACAGGCGTACACTTCCACAACTGACCTAAACTGTTATTAATGGAGTACTGAGGATTGGTCCTAGGGCTTTTGCACTGAGCTACTCCTCAGCCTTTTTTGTTTTTTGTTTTGGTACAGGGTATTGAACTCATGACCTCATGTTTGCCAGGCAGATGCTGGTGCCACTGAGCTAAATCCCCACACCCCCCTCCCTTTTTAAAATTTGAGACAAAGTCTTGCTGGGCTTGAATTTGTAATCCTCCTGGACTTTGCAGACCCTTCAAAGACCTGGGATTACAGGTCTGCTCTACCAGTCCTGGCTCATTATAAATATTATTACTGAAATGTTTTCTGTCTCATTTTAAAATGTTTGCATATAGCACATCTGAATTGGGACTAACCTCATTTCAGTTGCTTAGTATCTCACGTAGCTAATGGTTACTGTATTGAGCAGCACATGTGTAAAGGTGTCTTTGTAGCTGCCCTTTGTTTTTGGGAGCCCTCAGCAGAGAAACTGGCCAGGCCTGTAGATGGGGTTTCCTCTCTCCACTTCCAGCCCCTGAACAAGTAGCTCCTGAAAAAACAAAATCACTCACAGAGCATGTCACACTGCACCCTGCCACATTGGTCCAGCCACTAGCGCATCTTGACCGATTGTGAAAACCTCGTCACTGGTCTTGGGTTGTGCTTGGCTCTCAGCACTGCAGGAAACGTCAGTCAGTCTTGTGTTACTTCTCTGCTCAAACCTTTTGAAGCATTTCCACCTCTCAGAGTACAGGAGTCCTCCCAGTGCCCTTTGAGGTCCTGCCTCTATGATGCTAAATCTATGGCATGTGTGCCACCATGCGCCAAGTTGCCATGTTGTTTTTTCTAAACTAAAACCTCAGTGTTCAGGCTTACATGCAGTGTTGGTGCTTTGTGATAAATAAGAGGGTTTGGAGCTGCAGTTTGGGCACCCTGTGTCTAACAGGTGCACCATCACCATCCTGCCTTACCTGGCCATTGTTCCGTCTGCCTTACTTTTTCTCAGATATGCAAGGTAAGTGAGGTCTTGTACTCTCAGAAGCCTTCCCTAAATGCCTTCACAAGGCTGGGATTTTGGTCCTTTTTTTTTTTTTTTTTTCTTTCCCCTTCATAACAGGGATTGAACCTGGGATGCTGCATCCCTAGCCTTTTAATTTTTTTGTTTTTTGATTTCGAGACAGAGTCTCACTGTGGTTCTTTGGCTGGCCTTGAACTTGCAATCCTCTGACTTCCTATAGAGTGTCCAGGATGACACATGTGCACCACTATCCCTGGCATGGTCTGTATTGTTTGTTCATGGCCTGATTCCCAGTTGCTGGAGCCAAACCTGGCTGAGTTGAAGTGTTTAATAACCCTTGACTAAATCGAATGGATCTGTGTGAATGCAGGGCTGTGTTCCTCCTTAGCCAGGGCCCTGGTGATGATTTGGTGAGGTAGAACTTGGTGTCTTCTTTCTTTCAGGCCAAAGCCAGGCAGGGCTGGCTTGTAGCTGGCACAGTGGGCAGTGTGGTTTCCCAGGCCTCTGAGATCCCCATCACTAGTTGCTTAGAGTTCCTCTGGGACCGGCCTACTCTCCTCGTGCTGGGTAGGTAGATGTCCCCGCTTTTCTGTGCTCAACATATGTTTCTTGAGTACCTGGGTGCCCAGTAGGGCTTCTAACCTCCATGTGTGCTCTGCAGGGAATGAGGGCTCTGGTCTGTCCCAGGAAGTGCAGGCCGCCTGTCGGCTTCTCCTCTCTGTCCTGCCTGGGCGCCAGCTCCCTCCTGGTCTCGAGTCTTTGAATGTGTCTGTGGCTGCAGGTGAGTCTGCTTCCCTTCTTGGTGCCCTCTAATCACACAGATGTAGTTTTCCTCTCATTCTGTTTTTCTGGCTCATTCACCCTAACCAAGCTACTCAGTCCCGCTGTGTATCAGTTACTTCATGTACAAATTGGGGAAAATATGTCCTTTTAAGGATGAAATGAGGAAGGTACCTGCCTCGTGTCAAAGCCTTCAGACATGGTCATTCCTCTTCTCTGTCCCTTTCTCTTTCCCTTGTCCTATCTATGCAGGAATTCTTCTTCACTCTATTTGCAGCCAGAGGAAGGGTTTCCCTGCAGAGGAGGAAAGAGGGCAGATTCTCCAGGACCCTCCAGCAATATCTGAAGGACTCAGAGTGGCTCCACACCCAGGACTGTCTTTGGGATCCGAAAAAGAGAGGCACAGAGGGGGCTGAGGTGTGGACATGCCAGAGTGGAGATTTCTACTGCTCTGCCCACGTGTTGGAGCCTGCCCACATGCGCACCCAAGTGCCTGTGTGCCTACCAGGTGGTGAGGACAGGATTGTTGTTTATTGTACCAACCAGACTGACGAGGTGTTCCTTTGCCACAGTCCCACGATGGAGTGGAAGCTATCATGCAAGCAGTGGACTAGGAACAGTGACCTATGGGACGGGACTTTGAAGTAGTATCCAGAGGAGTTCAGTGCTGGCCTTTGCTAATTTCCAGGATGGGTGAGGATGGATGGGGTCTGTCTTCCTGGGCCCTGCCTGGAGGCCAAGGGAAGTGTGTTTGAGGAGGGAGCAGGCAGCCCGATCCAGGGGTCTGATTCCTCCAGAACCATGTGTGTCCTGTGGTGGCCGTGAGAGTGAGAAGTAGAGGGGCCCTGTGGCTGCTAAGCACATGCGTCCATCACTGGGCCCTGGGAACCCTGGTCTGCACCTACTGTTAGGGTTGTGAAGATGAAAGAAAACCAGCTGGTGTCCCATGGCCACTCAACAACCAGGATGGTGGTCTGATTCCTCCAGAAGGTGGCAGCCTCGCCCTTGAACCACGGTTTAGGAGACATAGCCACCTGGAGGGACTCTGGCCGCAGCCCCTCCAGACAGGGAAAATTGGCAGAAACCCTGCCTCACTGCAGCCTTGTGCGTGCTGCGCCCACTCCAGTGACCCGGCAGTGAATCCATCTAAGCAGAAGGAAGCAGGGAACCGAAGCCCTCACCTGTGAGCCCACAAGTCAGAGAGGGAGGCGGGTGGTGGAGAAGAGCAGGACCCCGGCTGGTTTCGAGTTCCAACTCTAACCTGCTAGGAGTGGCTCTTTCCTGTTGCAGCCATCACTAGAGTTGCAAAAGGAAGTTCAGTGCTGTTGGACAGATTAAGAACCACAAAAGGCTTTTCAGTGCACATTCCCAGGAAGATTATGTCTTCTCTTACCAAAGAGCTGAGGCACAAATACAGTGTTTGGTCTACACATCCAAAAGGATGATGAAGTTCAGGTTGCACACGGACACTGGTCAGCAGGTTGGGCAACGGGTCCAGGTTTACCAGAAGAAATATGTCCTCTACACTGAGTGGGTGCAGTGGGAAAAGGCGAAAGGCACAGCTGTCCGTGTGGACGGTCACCCTGGCAAGATGGCTATCACCTGGCTGAAACTGGACAAAGACTGCAAAAAGATCCTGGAACAGAAAGCCAAGTCTCACCAAGTAGAAAAGCAAAAGGGCAAATACAAGGAAAAAACAATTGAGAAAATGCAGGGGAAAAGTCCTCTTATGTGCAACTTTAATTAAAAACTGTTAAAATGAAAAAAAAAACTTGCTAGGAGTATAAATATGGACAAGCTCCTTAAAATCCCATGTCTTGGGGGCTGGGAATTTAGCTCAGTGGCATAAGCACCTGTCTGGCAAGTACGAGGTCATGAGTTTGATCTCCAGCACACACACTAAAAATAAAAATAAATTCCATGTCTGTTTTTAATCATCTATAAAATGGGAGTAACAGCCAGGAAGACTGTGGTATGGTTTGAAAGAGGTCATGCACAGAAACCCCTCAGCCGCAGGCCTGGAAGAGGGTGGTTAACTGTTCCTCAGTGCCTGAGGGCAGTCCTTGAGGGCAAGCACTGGGTGGTGCTCTTCTTCCACCCTGGCCTCAGTTTCTGCAGAGTTTTTAGCACCCCTGTCAGCCACAGTGCACCAAGGGCTACCTTGAGACTGCTGGCCAGACTAGGGGTGTGGAGGGAGTTGAAAGGACATGTGTAGGATTCCTTTTTGTCACTCATCCCTTTTACTTCTGCCTGCACGGTAGCTAACGAAGGGTTCCCAAAGACTGCCTGGCAGCTGGTGGAGCCCATGCCCCCTCCACCTGGGGACAAAAGCTTTTTTTGGCAGGAAGCTAAGTTATCAAACCCTCCCCCCCAGGGTGGGTCCTAAACTAGGTGTCCCCACTCAGCTCCTCCAGGCCAGGGCTGGGGATCCCCACAGTTTGTAAATGTAATCAACCTCAAGGTCTCTCACTTCCACAGGTGCAATTAGCCTGCCCATCTGCTAATCCCTGATTAATGATGTTTACAAACGTGGGACTCCTCCATCACTGGCTCGCTGGTAGAGCTGCGCAGTCTCTCCTGCCTGAAGTTGGAAGGCAGCGGTCTCCCAGAAACAGCTCCCCACTTCTTCAGGCCTCCACAGCCCAAACCTCTCCCTCTCCTTCCCAGGAAGGTGATGGAGCCAGAGCTCTCCCCCTCACCCTCTTTGGAACCTGGCCCTAATTCTCTGCAAATGCGTGAAAAAGAGATTGAGGAGAGCAGACACAGACTTCGAGGCTGGGTGCTGGGGCTGGAGTCCTACTCATCCTCCTTTCTTCAATTCTGGAACTTCAAGGACACTCAGAGGACGTGCTTCCTTGGCTCACCACCCGGAGTCAGACGGGGCCCATGTGGACATGCCTCTCCTCTCTGTGTCAGGGCCATGACACCAGAATGATGAGAACACAAACTTCTGAGCCAGACAGGAGGGCCCCCAGGATTGGCTCTACTTTCAAGTACTGTACAGTGCTTAACTTGATTGGCCCTCAATTTCTTCATCTATAAAATGGAGATGGGAGGAATAATACCTTATAGGTTTAAGGTTTATAGATAAGGCTTAATAAGATTATCCAAAAGACTTAGCACAAGCCCTGGGACACAGTAGGTGCTCAATAAATGCAAGCTGTTTACTGCAGTGTAAATAATAATCATGAAAGGAGGCTTCTAAAGCTACAGAGATGCTCAAGGACTTCTCCCCTCACCCTCTCTCTGGGGAGAGGGGCAAGTCCCAGCTCATTACCGTGGGGTGCGGGCTGAGTGGAGGTGTCAGATTGGAATCACTCCTGGGTCTGTTCACAGCTTCCTTGTTTCATTAACACCTCCCTGGTGGTCTTTGGCTCCTCCTGCTGGGGGAGGCCTCCAGAAAGTTCTGCCCCTCACTGCTGTGCTCCAGATGTGCACAGAGTAGGTTTTGTGCTGGGAAGAGATGACAGCCACTGACCAGAAAGCTGTCATTGTCCTCTTCCCCAAAACACCTGAAGGTGTGGTCAGGGGGCCTGGTATGGGGCAGCCCATCCTTCACTCTTCAGCAGTATGTAATCCACAGGTTCTGGTGTCCTCTCCCCACTGCAGCTCTTCCTCTTTCTGCCTTCGGACTTCAGATCCCCACACACCTCTTCCTAGCTGGGTGACCTTGAGCAGGTTGCTTTTCATTTGTCTTTTCTCTAAAGCGAACAGGGAGCTAGCATAGACCCTCTAAACTGTAAACTCTCATGAGATGGTATCAGTATTCTTTTTTAACCAGGGGCAAAGCTGCTCTCAGGCTTACCTTTTTAAAGCAGGCCTTTGTACAAGCTAGAATTTCCCCGCCTTGGGAAGAGGGGGCCCCAGTGGCTGAATTGGGACCAGGAGATTTTTTTGGGGGGGGGGGCAGAAGATTTACACTGAGGCTCTGCAGTACCTGACCCTAAACAAGGCTCCTTTTAACTGAACCCCAAGAAGGACTTTTAAGGAAATCTTGCCCTTCATCCCTGCCTGGTTCCTGCTTGGTGGCACAGTACTCCATTTCACAGAGGATTCCCACCAGCTTCGTGGGCCAGGGGGAAGGGCTGGCCTGGCTTTATCTGGATACCTCTGCAGCTATCTCTGGCCCCTCAGGCTCCTAGTCATGAAAAGAGGTACCGTTTTTGGCTTATCTACAATACCCAAATGCCCATTTTTCCCTTAGAAAGCAGAAGCATAGACTTGGTCTCTTCTTGCAGGTAGTCTTACATAAAGCCTCACCCCTGCCCCCCTAATTTGGCTCTCATAGGGCTCTGCACACAGGTGAGTTTGTGTTCCAGGTCCCAGGACAGGAACAGGCACCACATATTGGGTGTCAAAAACAAGGACTGGGGATTTAGCACACCTGCCTGGCAAGTGCCAGGTTGTGAGTTCATCTCTGGTACCAAACAACAAACAAAAAACAACAAAGACAACACAAAGACTCACAAAGCCCGTCTGAGGCTGAAGACTAATTGCCCCTCCTCCTCATAGTGGGTCGGAGGGCAGATTCCCTCAGCACATTTCCAGCCAGCCTTGACCTTCCACTCTGAGACAGCCTCAAAGGAGGTAAGTCACAAACTATCCCCCAAACATAGCTGCTCCTAGTTCTCTGGAACAAGGGAGCCAACGGAGGACTGAGAGTAACTGTTATGTTCCCTGACCTGGTCCCCATAGAGCCCACCCTGGGCTTTGCTGAGACCATCTGTACCTAGGCCTTGCAAGATGGCCCTGCCCCCTAGATAAGGGGCAGGCGCTAGGAGAGGGCTGGGTCTGGTCTAAATCTGAGCCCTGAGACCGACGCATATATAGCAATCTCCCCTTGAGGGGTAGAGGACCTGGAAGCCAGGTGTTCAGAGCAGGAGGAGTGGTGTGGTGATGATAGTGATGCTGATGGTGACGGTGACGCACAGTTCCTGTGCACTTTCCACGTGCTCACAGTACCACATGCCCCATTTCGTGCTCCCTTCTGGTACTCTGGGGTGGGCACCATTACCCACCTTTGGCTTATGGATAGGAAACTTAGAGGGGATGTTAACTCCCAGGTCAGAAGGATCTGGAAGGGAGAGGAGTAAGGACAGAGGCTGGGGGCCTGAGTGTGTATATGGGAAACTTCCAGCCAGATCTGTACCCCGCGCAGTCCCCATCCGCCCCCCCCACTCCAACTCTTCTGTGCTGCCTTGACCAGCTCTAAATGGGGTGTCCCATAGCAGAGTGTGGGGCACTTTCATTCATTTCCGCATGGGCTGTGGCTGGCTGGTTTCCCAGGCTGGGAGAGCAGCAGTGACAGTTCAGGGCTCTTGTGGGACGCAGTAAAGACCCCTGACTTCCAGAGACACCGAGCTCAGGTTCAAAGCCAGGCTCTTCTCCCAAATCTCAAGTCACACACCTTGCTTGAGTCTCTTCTGAGCTCCATTTCCCCTCTGTAAGGTAGAGCCAATAATCAGTTTCTCCTATGTTGTGCTGGGGCCGAAGGGAAAAGATGCCCCTCACCTTGACCTTGGCCTCCAACAGCCCTTCCTTTTGGGCCTCTTCCTCTTCCTCTTCGGCACCTACTTCAGTGGTTGCCTCTTGCCCTTTCAATCTCAGGGCTATACCTCATCTCTGCCTGTGGTGTCTGCCAATCTCAGTCCTGTCTGCTTGCCCAGGCTGGGTCACAGGGCTCCAGGTGGCAGCTCCTCCTGGCCTATGTCTGCACTCCCTGCCCATCCCTCCTCTTAGCTCTTCCCTGGCTCCCCCTCTCGCTCCCTTTACCCTGGGGGCTGATCAATGGCAGCCCTGGTTATTGATTGGGGTGAGTGCCCAAGTGTGGCTGCTTGAGGCCGATATTGATGGGCGGAATTAGTGCTGAAGCCTGAGAGGAGTGGCAGCTGGGAGCCTGGGGCTGCAGGGAAAGAGGTGTTCCTCCTCTTCTCCTGGGACCTGGAGTGGGGGTCTTTAAAGCTGCAGACTCCATCTAGATGGGAGTGGGCCTGAGGGTGGAAAGTGGCAACTTAGCTCATGGCTGTTTCTTAACAAGCATTTGTTGAGCACCTACTCTGTGCCAGCTGTAGATACAGAAGACAGCATGTCAGAAAAAAAGTAGATCATATAGCTTGTTACAATATCTTTAAAATAAAGCAGGGAAAGAAGGAAATGGTCACTGTGGTTGGGGGAAGTGCGGTTTTAAATGGGGTAAGTAGGACAGGCCGCACAGAGAAGTAACCTTTGGGGACCGGAGGGAAGGGAAGGAGTGGAAACGCCAGTTTAAGGTGGCCAGGACTGGGGTCCTCTAGGTGCATCCAGGAGCCCAGTGTGGCTGGAGGGAAGAGAATGGGAAGGAACGGGGCAGTGAAACAGGGTAGCAGGGCACAGGCTGGGGTGGGACTGACAGCTCAGGGCTGCCCGCTCTCCCAGCTCCAGGCTCTGCTGTCGATTCCAGAACCCCGGCCTGCTGCCCCCGACATACCCGGGGTCTCATGATGAGGGAGACCGTGTCCCAGGCCCATCCTCTGCCTTATCAGGGACTGTGAGGTCTATCATGACCCTTGTAGAGCTGGGAAAACTGAGGCATGTGGCAACTTGCCTTAGGTCATGTTGCTAGGAAGCCACACCCTGACAACAAACCCCAATTTATCTGACTCCCCACAATTATTGCTTTTGTGGATGTGACCCTGTTAACCACCTTTTCCCTGTTAACCAGCTCAGAGGTGTTGAGCTTACCCTGCAGTGCAGCAAATACACGCCTCACAAAACTGACACTTTAACAACAGCTCCCCAACCCAACCAAAACCACAAAAAAAACCCCAAACAACAGCTCGCTACCCACACTCACCCTGGACAACCACCACTGCATTTTCTATCTCTGAGTTTGACAATTTTATTATTAGTAGTAGTATTTGGTGCTAAGGATTGAGCCCAAGG